ACCACAGCTGTTACTGTAAATCTCATCCCGTCGCTGTATCACCCCCATTTTGTGGCTCTGAAGGATGAAATTGAGAGATGGGCTACTGTGCGGTGAGCCTTCACATCTCCAATTTCAGGCCTTGGCCATCATTTTCATGCTTTTATTCCAAATCAAATAACATTAGCGAGCTACACCCCCTTCTGATGAGTGTCTGGGATGGAGCACAGCTTTCCAGCCTGGACTTTTGGGGGCTTCCTTTTGTGGACGGGGAGGGCTCTTCCCCGCCCCCCCACCTTTTTCTCCCTGCACTTTTCTCTGCGCTTTCTTGGTGCGTCTGCGCTGGGAACGATACAAGTTGCCAAGAGCGCCCCAGTCCTCCCCGCTTTCCAAGGGGGACCACGTGTGGGGAGAGGGGTCTGTGTCTTTTCATCTTTGGGGGAGGAGGGACGCGAACTTGGTAGAAGGATATTGGGGGCTTTAATCAGAAATAAGAAGTGGCTTAAATCATTAGCACAACAAAGCACACCATAGGCTTGAAGATAAAAGTCCCTGGGGACAGGGTCCTCTGAAAATAAATGGAACTTGATAGATTTCCATATCATTTATAACTTCCCTTAATTACACTTGGAAGACTTGCCAGTAAAACTGGAAAATTGGCAGCCTCCATCCATTAGAGTCATTTTGCCGACCATGGCAAGCAGCTGGCTTTACTGGATTTTATTTCCCATCACTCACAATTAATCATCAGCTGGAGATGTCTGAAACTCCAGCCCAGAGCCGGTGCCCGGTGACATTCGGGCTTTTAACGGGCTCAGATCTGCCGAGTAAATGGGCCGAGTCTTCTGTCCAGCTTCCTGGTTTGGGGGGCCGGGCAGGCTCCCTCTTAATGAGTGCGCTCTGATAATCGGATGCGAATGTGAACCCTGACCCCATGTCAAAGGAGAGGACGCAGTCAGCCAGATGAAAGATACAGGATTCAGGCCTCCCAACTTTACCCCAATTAGACCAGGAGCCGAGAAATGCATCAGGCCCACCAGGTTTATCGAAAGACTTTTGAGGCTTGTGACCACTTCGTGAAGCTCAAGGTTGCAGACGCCCCGTCACCGTCGCTGAGTCTCCGCCGGCTGGTCCCCGAATGCGGGAGAGGCCTGTGCACACACACGCCAGCTGGCTGAGGGGAGCGGTGCGGGCCTCCCCGAAGCCACCTGGGGAGGCGGAGGAATCGGGAGTGGGAAGCTGCTCCCGAGCTCCCGAGATGGGGGCGGGATGGCGGGCTTCCCCCTGGTGCAAGGGAGGGCTGTGGAGCCCGCGTGGGGCCTGCCGGGGGCAGGATACCCCAGCTCCAGCCCTGTCTCCCGTCGGCATTGCTGCGTTCGCGTCTCTGACTTGGGTTGTGGAGATGCACTAACGCGAGCTTAGAGGCACCTCCTGTGGGGCACGGCGTGGCCGGCTTCCCCGAGTTCTCTGCTAGGGACGAACCGGTGACGACAGACTAGGAACCATCGCCCGGAGTGCAGGCAGCGAGGACTGGGTGACTTGAATTTCCCTTCAGGGAGAGATTTCCCTTCAGGGAGACCAGCAGGGGCAGGGAGGCGGGGGACAGGGTGCCCTTCCATCAGATGGCCAGAGTCGCCGAGCCGCAGACGGGGTGTTTCCCTCTGGGGCTTCCTCGCCGCTCTCCTCACCCCGGGCCCAGCCAGAGGTGGTGGTTCTCTGATGAGTGATGGGGGGCGGGGGGTGTGGCTACCACTTTTGGTCACCTGCATGTCACCTCCTTGCCGGTGACCCGCGTCACAAGCCCCCCGAGCGGGCCGGGGGAGAGGGCCGTGGGCAGCGACAGGTCTGCGCCTTCGAGCGGGGCCCGCGCGTCTCCGGGCCTTTGCTTGTGCTGTCCGCGCACGTCCGCGCCGACTGACCGGGAGGTCCCCTGGGAAGCGGTGAGGGGCCCTTGGGCCCCCAGGTTCTGCGCCGCGGGCTGAACAGGATGAGGAGCAAACCTGCAGGGACCCCTGGCGTGGCGAGCCCGGCCCTCAGGCTGCAGGACCGGCCCGGCGGGCGGCGCGTGGGAGACGAGGCCGCCCGTGGCTCCGTCCCTCTGCGCAGGCAGCCGCGCTGGCCCCAGCGAGGGGCGCCGTGGGGACCCCTGTCCCGAGCTGGAGGCCCCGTCACGCCAGTTGAGTTTCAGATCCGTGTCCCGGAACACGGCCCCTGGAACGTGCGCCCGTGGGGCTCGTGGGGGGCTCGCACTCAGGGCCCACTGGGGTTTCCCGGGCGCGCGGGATGGCGGGTGCCACGGGGGGGGGGGCCAGGCCGCGCCCAGGGGAGTAGCCGTTCCCCACCCCTGCGGGCCTCGGAGGCTCCGCGGGCCCTCCCTGGCGGCCGGCCCTCCGGGTCGCGGCTCGGCCCGCCGTGGCATGCAGCTGCCAGGTGAAAATGAATCACGCGGGCAGCGAGCGCCGAGCCCGCTGTCTCTCCTCCGTGCCAGCACCGAAGTTTGGCAGCCCCCTCTTCCTATGTTCCTGTGCCAGGAAAAGCAGCCCACCACCTGATCCGCGGAGGAGGGGAACCCACAGCGCCCGGCGGGCCCCACTGCCAGCGAGACAGCTTGTGCCACACAGGGGGGCCGGGCCAGGGCGTGGAGATCATCTGGGGACTTCAGGAAAGGACGCTCCGCAGGCGCTTCTGCAGCCCTGGACGGGCTCCGCTGGGGTGGCTAGCGGGGAGCCTCGCGCCAGGGCCTCCGGGTTCCCCCAGCACCCTGAAATCTGGCCGCCCCAGGAAATGACTTCCCGTTTCAGAGTCCAGGAGCCCTTTTCACAAGGAGGGAAGAGAATCCGGCCCTGCTCTTTGCCGCTTCCCCTCAGGGGCAGGCAAAATACAGAGTGACTGTAAGTCACGGCTGAGACCCGGGTGGAAGCCCCAGCCCGACCTCCGGGGGGCCGGCCTGGATTTCCCTCTGTGGAAGGCGGGTGCTGCTCAGGAGGCTGGACTCAATGCTCAGGGGAGCTGCTGGTCTCGTGCCAGGAGGAGGACCCGGCACAGGTCTAGAAATCATCCGGGTATCGGGGGCGCCTCCTGGAGTCACCGGACATTCTTGCCCAGTTTGCAACAGTGGGCGATGCCTGGCTATTCCCAGCCCCCCAGGGCTATAGGTAGAAACGCTCCATTTTTGGGGTCGCTTTACTGAGACCAAACTCAAACAAGTCCGGTTCACCCCTTTCAAGTGTGCACCCCAGTCACTGAATCGGGTCAGAGCTGTGCAGCCATCACCTCAATCTGAGAACATTTTTATCACCCCACCAAGAAACCCTGTACCATCAGCAATCACTCCCCTCCCCCCAGCCCCTGGAAACCACAGTGCTTTCATGGAGATCTGCCAGTTCTAGAAAGTTCCTCTCAATGGAAGACATCCATTGTTGTCACACCTGTTTGTGCAAAGGAGATTCAGAGGTCCTCAGGGGAGCCTACCACCAGCACCCCGTCCTCTAGTGTCGGGGATTTCCTTTTAATACTGATAGTCATTTTTCACTTCTCTGTTAACTTGGGGGTACATGATTACCCCTCACAGATGCACACGCTTCACTTACCAGTACTCCAGTGTCAGGAGGCCCCTTTCCTCCCGTCACCTCCTCCCTCCCCTACCCCTCCAGTCACCAGGTTATTTTTCAATCTAAAATCATTTTGGGGCCTCCCTGGTGACGCAAGGGGTTAAGCACCACACTATGAAGCAATCCACAGCCTCTGCAGCACAAGTTCGATCCCCGGCCAGGGAGCTACCCACATGGCGCGGCAGACCTCTCCTGTCTCACCCGCTGCTCCCCTCAGCAGTGTATTTCAGTCAGTCTGCCTGTTCTGCTCCCCACTCTGTCTCTGGTGAATCCTCTCACCCCCCGCATCTCTGGCCTGTGCCCCAGCTCTTGTATGCATAAATAAATAAATCTTCTAAAAAAAAATTATTTTGGCTGCACTTCTGTGGTCCGTGTTCTTTATAGCCCATCGAGAAGCAAAACCATCTGGTATCTTTCACTTTCCGACTCTTTTCACTTACTATGATCACCTCAAGATCCATCAGGTTTTTCCCAAGAGCCACTATTTCATCTTTAAAAAAAGTGGTTCATTGCGTGCATATTCGCCAATTTCTTTATCCAGTCGTCTTTATCACCTAGCTTGGCTCTGCGACTAGGCAGCGCGGGCAGTTACACTGTGAACGTGCAGGCGCGTGGACCTTGCCACGGTGGAGTGCTCCTGAGCGGTGTGTAAATACCTCACCTCGCAGCGGTATCACATGGGATTTCCGTGTGTAGTTTTTTGCCTCTCTCCATTCTGTTTCCCGTAGAGGCTGCACTAAATTCTGCCACCAGCAACAGTGGAAGAGGATTTCTTTCTCTCCACTTCCTCGGCAACGTTGTGGCTTCAGGTTTTCTTGATGTGGGTCATGCTCACAGGGGCGAGGGGGCATCTTGTGGTGGTTTTGATTTGTGTTTCCCTTAAGTGAGACTGAGCACTTTTTCATGCGTCTGTAGGTCCTCTGGGTGCCTTCTTCGGAGAAGTGTCTATTTAGACCTTTTGCCCGTTTTGTGACTGGGTGTGTTTGTTGTAAAGTTGTGCGAGCTCCTGTAATTCAGAAGCGGACCCCTCTTCAGGCGCGTGATGGCCGTTCAGCTCGCGTCAGTAGATTGCCTTTTGTTTCTTGATGGCTGCCTTGAGGCACAGGCCCTTTCTAGTCTGATGTAGCCCCGCGTGTTTATTTTTGCTTTTGTTTCTCTTGCCATTGGGGATGCCTCCCCAAATATCTCTCGGCAGGGACTTTTTTCAAACATGGATTTAACGACAACTGAGGGACAGGCCTTTCTCTGCTGTCTCTCCAAGATGAACTTGGACCATGACCAACTAGAGGTCATTGCTGCAGCCTGGATAAAATTTGAGAGCATTTGACAAAGAAACACTTCATGGCTTCAGTCTTCGCGCCATTAAAAAATTAGAATGCTTTTAAAACGTGTCCATTTTTTGTTTTCCAGGTAGCAGAAGGTCAGGAAATTTGTGTGATTGAAGCTATGAAAATGCAGAACAGTATGACAGCTGGGAAAACTGGCAAGGTATGTCCCCAAGTTCACGCCAGCCCGCACGGGCTCTGTGACAGGAAGCAGAATCTCCTCCTTTGGATCTTGGCTGGCTCAGCCTGGCGGGAGGTGGGAGGTGCTCTGGCGCCCCAGTCTCTCCCCCACCACAACCAGGACACTGAGGTGGGTGCTCTCTTCACCCCAAGTGGCCCTGCCTGTGGAGAGTGGACTTTGCCAGAGCCCCTTTAATGCTGAGGTAGTCAGAGAACAATTGCTCTTCACCTTAATGCCTTTCAAATTAAGGGGTCTTTAATTTTTAATGTTTACATCTGTCTTAGAGGCAGTTAGTTATCTGAGACTTAGGTGACACAGCAGGAAGTGGTTTTAGAGATTGTCAAAATTAATGCAACTCTTCAAGATAATTTCTCCACAAAGAGCACAATTCAATTTTAGTTTCCGAGGAGCTGAAAGCCCCCAGGGTACACATGTGGGACTTAATGATTTGGGGAGAAAAATGAGGCCATGTATTAGTGGTGAAATTTGTTGAGAGTCAAACTGAAACGTATTTTCTCCTGGAGGGAGTAAGAGAGTCTTTTTCAGCAATAACTTCATTCTTGCTCATGTGACGAAAAAGATGCTCTCGGGGGCAGGACAGGGCCTTTTCTGAAGGCGGGTTTGGGCTGGAAGTGTTGGCACGGTGGGGAGGGTTTGGGTGGGTCTGGCCTTGTGGCCAGGCCAGAACTCCAGACCAAGCCCTGGGAACATGGGGCCCTGACAGAGAGGTACCCGCAGCCTGCAGCCAGGCCCGGGTCTGGGGACAGCGAAGTCTTCGACTGTCACCCTAAAAGGAAATGAAACTGCTGCTCTGGGAACAGGCTGAGGGGGGGCGCCCGGCCAGCCCCCGCAGGGAGGGCAGGGCTGTGCGTTGCTGCCGGCCAGGCCAGAGGGGGCTGCAGGACAGCTGTGCCCAGGGGTTGGAGAGGAGAATGGCATGATGTGTGATTTTCAGGAATTTTGCTGTCTGCGCCTGATTACCTTTTTTTTTTTAAGATTTATTTATTTATGCATACAAGAACTGGGGTACAGGCCAGAGGCATGGGGGGTGTGGTGGGAGGAGCCACCAGAGACAGAGTGAGCAACAGAACAGGCAGACTGACTGAAATACACTGCTGAGGGGCGCAGCGGGCGAGTCAGGAGAGGTCTGCTGCGCCATGTGGGTAGCTCCCTGGCCGGGGATCGAACTCATGCTGCAGTGGCTGCGGATAGCTTCATAGATTGCATCTTAACCCCTGGCACCACCAGGGAGGCCCCCGATTACTTTTTTTTTTTTTTAAAGATTTATTTTTATTTATTTATACAAGCACTGGGTACAGTCAGAAGCGCGGGAGGGTGAGAGAATTCACCAGAGCCAGAGCGGGGAGCAGAGCAGGCAGAAGGACCGAAGTACACTGCTGAGGGGAGCAGCGGGCGGCAGGAGAGGTCTGCGCGCCGTGTGGGACCCTCCTCTGGTGGCCGGGGAGCAGCCGGGGATGGAACCGGCGCTGCAGAGGCTGCGGGCAGCTTCGCGACCCAGCGCTCAACCGCTGCGCCACCGGGGAGGCCCTCCCTGATTACTTTTTAAAGAGCGGGCATGAAAAGGCTGATTTCTGCTCATGTGAAGTAAGTCATTTTTATTCTCAGGAATATTTTTCTTCATGCATTAGTATCATGAAATCTCCATCTACCTGGTTTGGGGGGGACCCATAGCGTATGTCAGATGTGTGCTGGTGTTGGACTACGGTGCTGGCACGATAGTGCACGTGGTCTTAGCTCCCGGGGGAGTGCAGCATGACAGGCATGTGCTGTGTCCTTGGGGCTGGGGCTCACAGTGGAGGCTTCTCTGCTCCCTGGCCATCAGTGCCCCTGAGCTGCTCTTCAGGGGTGTCGAGGGGCTCTGAGTGAATCCTGGACCTCGGCCCTACCCTCATCAGTGGGAGTCCTTCCTCCCACCCGACAAGGGGCTTGTCATTTGAGGGGGCAGGCCCAGCACAGGGGAGCAGGCCTGGCCCTCCCCAGGGCTGAACATTCTCATCCGCAAAGCCTACTTTCCTCTCAGAGAAAAGGCTCCCTCTGGAAACAGGCCGCCTGCTAATCACAGAAGCCCTAGAAATGGCAGCATCGTGAAAGATCCGCCCCATACAAGCCTCGGAGGCTTGAGAGCACAATAACCGCCGTCACTTCCACGGTGGCGTGTGCAGATGAGGCCCTGACTGTGGCTCTGACGCACCCTGGGCCCAGACTGCAGGGGCAGGCCGGGCACGTCCAGCTGGTGGAGCTGCCTGGCACCAGCCAGGCCTAACCCATCGTTCATTTTCACACCTAAGCAAGAACCGCCAAGAACTGGAATGACTGTCTCTCTCCTCCTCCAAAGCTCTCCCCTTGGGGAAGCAAAGCCTTGAGTAAAGTCGGGAGAAATCAGAATCAAAAGGCACGGTGTGAACAGTCACAGCTGGGAGCTCAGTGTCTGTTCCCTGCCACAAAGTACTGTCCGTGCAGCCGCAGGTTTTCTGATTATTTCACTTCCCTCCGGGCGGGAGCGCACGACCCGATGGAGCGGCGCTCCTGGGAGCGAGCCCCTCTGGCCTCCAGGGTAGTGACGTTCTCGCTTAAAAAAAAATTCCCCATGAACTGTCAGAACATTTCTGCAGCCTGAAACCGTGGAGATTTGGGGAGCTGGAGTTAAGAACTCACCCAGCTTGGCTTGAGGACGCCCCCAGACCGGAGCGCACCCAGGGCCGGCGACCGCAGAAACGCCCTAGCGGGCACGGGCAGGGCGGGCACGGATGGGGCGGGTCTGGGGGGGAAGGTGCCAAGGGGCAGCCCCGTGGCCGTCCCGTGCGTGCGGCGCAGCCCCGGCTCTGACCTGGCCGCTGGCTCGCTCTCCCCGAAGCGGAGGGCGCGATTTCGCCCTCCCGGTGGACTCAGGGGTTCTCACCACCCCCTCTTTTTAATTCAAGGTGAAGTCGGTGCAGTGTAAAGCTGGAGACACCGTGGGCGAAGGAGATCTGCTGGTGGAGCTGGAGTGAAGTCTTTCTAGCCTTTCCGGCATCCCCCGGTCTAATTAGCCGTTTGCATCCGTTTCCTTCACACTCAATTTCTTCAGGCGCTTCTGCGGGGACACCCCTGTGCAGCAGATTTCACACGGTCATATTTATTCCACATATAGTCAAAACCAACATTCTGCCAAAAAATCACCAATGGAAATCTTTATTGATATAAATACTTGTACATATGATTTGTACTTCTGCTGTGAGATTTCCTAGTGTCAAAATTAAATCAATAAAACGGAGCATTTGTCTAAATATTAGTTTGCCCTTTTTTTGAATGAAGACAATGTGCATCAGGGGCTACGGCTGTGCCAGTACAATCTCGATACGAGGGTTTCACTCTGCCTGGGCCTTTTAAAAGTTTCTGTGAATCCCAGTTCTTTGCTTTCAGTTTCATAAAGTTACCATCTGCCCCCGTGAAGGCGATGCCGACCCCTTCCTGGCGCGGCGGCCCTTCCCGGGACACAGGTGAGTCCCTGTCCCCCCACAGCTCCCTGGCGGGCTGGCCGGGCCCAGGGCAGGCTGCCCGGGCTCCCGCACCCCAGGGGTCGTGGGTGGGGCTGCCACCAGCTCCTCGGCTGAGACCTGTCCTCGCCTTTTTTGTGGTTTTGTGAAGCAAGTTTCCAGTGAAGAAAAAGGGGCTAAAAATAATGATGATGTGTTTGTGCCAGATGCAGCGCGCGATCACAGTCTACCATTAAGTGGAGGAGCGAGCGCGCTCTCCCAACGAGACGAGGTTACTCGCGATCAGCAGCTGCATTTCCATTTGGTTCTGGATTCTTGGACTACATTTCATACTTTGCTGGGAAGCCGGCAGGGGCAGAGTCGTGCGCTGATTGGAATCTGCGCTGACAGAGGATCAGATGGAGGTGGGTAGTAATTGGTACTTCGTGCCTTGCTAACATTATTTTAAGTGCTGTTTGTATTTGGAAGCTAAGCTTTCTGTCAGGCCTGAAGAACAAATTACTAACGTGCTGGTTCTTCTCCGCAAGGCCCACCCCCAGATGCCGCCGCTTCGGAGGCAGGCGCGGGGCTCTCTGCGATGCTCTGGATCGGGGTGTGCTTTCACCTGAAACGGGGGCTTCAGCTGCGTCTGCCAGCAAATGGGCGCTCCTTATTTTGCTACATGAGCTCCAAGAGCGCCTTCTACCAGCTAAACAGACCCTCCCCCCAAAGGCCCGCAATTCTCCAGCATTTTTGTATTTCCCAAAACATCGGTTTTAAATGATCCTCTTTAATAGTCCCCGTTTCAGCGCGCTCTGCATGTGGAGAATGACATTACAGAGACTCCGAAGTACAGCGTGTTTGTCCTCAAGTGCTTTTATTACCACGGGGCACCCAACGTCAGCTTTTACTTAAATTTTTTTCTTGGTGGTACAGGCCAAAGGCAGTACAGTGGGGCTGCTAAAAGCTCACCGCAGCAGCCTTTACTTTCATTTCAAATGTTATCTTCAGAGAAAAGCAAAGCAAAAAGAGAAGTATGATGATGATAACACATGGTTCTCTAACTGTCATTTAGGGGAATGAAAATCCCAAAGTTTTCTTATCCAAGAGCGTCAAGCCCATGATGCTCTCGAAGCAGCAAGCAATGCGGGGGTCTCAGAGAAAGGGATTTAAGGCACAATCTTGTTATCAGTGTGGCGAAATTATTTGTGCAATCAGCTGCCACGGAAAGATTGTTGTTTTCACTCCTACAGATTGAGTTTGACAAACGTCTGTTTCAAAGGCATCGCCGCGCCTCTGCGCCGGAGGAGTGCGGACGCCCCAGGTAACCCTAATCGCCAGGCCCCCTCTGCCGCGCGCAGCCCCCGCGTCTCATCGGTTTTCTCGGGGATTATAGCGCAGCCCGTGGTTCCCCTGGGAGTCGTAGTTGTCGTGGTAGGGGAGGTGGACCCACTCGGGCGAGTAGGTGGCCGTGCTGTACAGGAAGCACTGCACCTTGGCGTCCGGCGTCTCCGGGGTGGCGCCCACCCCCTCGAGGACGATGGTGGCCGGGGTGCGCTGGTACATGTCGGGGCAGTCTTCGAACCTGTCGAGGAAGTGCAGCATCTGCTCGTCCACGGTGTAGATCTCCCCGGCCACGCGGTGGCCCCTGCCCGGGAGGTGCAGCAGGTAGGGGATGTTGTGCTCCCCCGCGATCACCAGCGGGTAGGGCTCCAGCGTGCGGCCGCAGCCCTGGAAGGCCGCGCTGCCGTGGGCGCTGTCCAGCAGGACTCGGTGGTTCGGCTGGCCCCGCTTCAGCGTCCCGTACACGAACACGCGGGCCATGGCGCCAGGCCTGTGTGGAGAAGGGAAGCAGGGATGTGGCCACGCGCCAGGACTCTGCACAGCTGCGGCCTCTCCGCTCGGGCTGGAAACTGTCCTGGAAGCGCCTGGGCGTAAAACTCGGGGGCTTTGGGGGCTGCCCTGCCCTCCCCTCCCGACCCAGCACCGCCCAGGGCCCCTGGCCTGGATCTTCAGTGGGCGTCTCTGAGCTGCCGGAAAGGCCGGCCACCCCCAGGGCACTTTTCCAGGGAGAGATTCTTATTTGCAGAACACGCTCACCTGTCAGACGGAGCAGTCTGTTCTGGGCTCAACCTCGCAGAACTGTTTCCTATTTTAAAAATTGCACAATACTTAGAGGAAAGTGAGACATGACAAGCAAATACACGTCTGCAAAACAATCACCTGTAATTGGCCACGAGTGATAATTCAGGTTTCAGTAAGAAATTTACGTTCTGGCCCTGGCAGCGCGACCCAGTACAGCTCACCCCGCTCCTGACCATTCCTTGTTCCTCTCGCCAGGCCCTGGAAGGCAAGGAGGCGCCCCTGTGACTCATTGCGGGGACCCTGGCGCGTCAGCGTGAAGGTAAACATTGGCCTTGCCTTGGGCTGGGCCACAGACTGTTACATCATCATCAGAAGTAACTTGTGTAAGTGACGCGAACAGAAGTGGACATGGAAGCTGAACAGGGCAGGCCCCTCTTCCAAGTCTGGTGTCTGCCACCCAGGCTGCCCAGCACTGGGGAATCGGCCTGGACTGGCTTTGGAAATGAACAAGATACCCTATGCGGGAAAACCAGCCCTCGGCGGGCCCACGACCAGCCAGACACACCGGGAGGGTGACGTGTCCGGGGCGCTGGATGTGCCGAGAGCAAGCTCCGGGCCGGCGCTGGCCCCGGACGGGTCACATGTAACTCACAGGCCTTCCACTTTCTTCTAGGCAGCCAGGGCTGGTCTGGGGCTTTGGCCCTTCCCCCCTCTTCAGGGACCTGGGGAGGACAGGCAGCCCCCCTCCCGCCTCAGTCTTAGGGGCCCGAGGCCAAGAGTGGGTTTCTGCAGGCCGCGCCGGGGAAGCGCACTTGGCTGCGGGAGGCGCGCAGGCCAGCAGCTCCGTCGTTTGACAGCCCTGGGTGCCTGGAGCAGGGCAGGGCAAGAGGTGCAGCGGGGAGAGGGCGGGCCTGCCTGGGAGGATGCAGAGAGCCGGGCCGTCCACCCGGACAGGCACAGCAGAGACTGTCTGCAGCGGGGGGGACGGGGAGTGGGCGGGAACGAGGCCGAGGGCACGAGGGTGCAGCTGGTGGGGCCGCGTGGCAGCCTCGAAGACCAGCCTTTGCAAAGGCACCCCCTCCTCTCACTGCTGCGCTGGCCCGTCTCCCAGTGCGGTCTGCACAACCACCTCGGCCGAGGATCGCACCTCAGCCCCTGCGGGGAACTGCACCTCTGTTCCCTCCAGCCCCTTCCCCCTCGGCGCTCCAGTCTGCCCTGCCCCCGCTGCGGACTCCACCATGGCCTTGCGCGCCGTGGCCTTGCCTGCCGTGGCCTACGGGCTCTTGCCCTCACCTCCCTCCAGTCACAGGCTTCCCTGAGCAGCCCCTTTAGACTCACCCATGGTGCCCCCGCCCCTGGCCCGCCGACCCCGACTTGCTCTTCCTGGTGCCTGTTCTCAGCCTCGGCCAGAGACCCGCCCTCCGGCACCGCTAGCCTGGCGTCCTCGGTCACCGTCAGAAAGCCTTTCTAGAAAAGCGAAGTGCCCTGTCCTCTTCCACTCCCGAAGGCCACGCCTTGGAGCCTTTTAACCGCTGCATTCAGTGTTTACCCTTCCAGGCTGGGGACCTGCACGTCTCCAGTCCCCGGTCTTGCCCTCCCGGCCTCCCGCCCTCCCGCAGGCTCGCAGCGCAGTTAGGCCACACGCCGGGCCGGGTGCCGCCCCACCGCCGACGCCGCGTGGCCTGAGGCTGTGACCTCTGGGCCGCAACGCCTGCCTCCGGGTCCAGTGACGGCGCCGAGCCCTGCGTGTCGGGTGAGTGAAGGGAGACGCGCCGTGGCCGTCCCTGCGCCGCAGCCCCACGCCCCCGGCGGGTCCATACCCCCGGCTGCGGCCAGTGCACGCGCGTCCCAGCGCCGCACGCTGTTCTCTGACCCGGCCCGCGGTGCCGTGGTTCCCTTCCTTCCGGGACAACCTTGTGTTGTGCTTGGAATTAAAATTTACGTCAGCTTCTTTTTCCTTCAGCTCCTTGCTCAAGTCTCCAACAGGCCTTCGCCCTCACGCTGGCAGGAAGAGCCGTCAGGGCCCTTTCAGCCCGGCCCCCCAGTGCTCCTCCCGGCCCCCCAGTGCTCCTGCCCGCCGCGCCCACCCCGTTTTGCTGAAGCTTGTGACTCCTCCCTCAAGCCACAGTGTGGCTGGGTCGAGAATTCTGGAAATAATTCCCTTCAGAACGTGAAAGGCATTTCTTCCTCGTCTTCTCATTCCCCAGGGCTGCGCTGAGAAGTCCGGTGCCGCCGGGCCCTGGGCCCACGCCCCCCGTCTGCCTTGAGGGGGGCTTCCTACTGCCGACGCGTCTCCTTGGATTGCAGAGACTCTTCTTCCCGCTTTACTTTCTGGATCCCCCAGCGCTGGGCATCCGGCATTCGCTGTTCAGTCTTCCCTTTTTCCTGGAGTTTTTCTTTGTAGTCTACTTTGTCTTCTAGTTTTTAAATTTTTCAAATAGTTTTGCCTTCGCATCCATCTCCAAGGCCAGCTGCCAGGTCTCCCAGGACACCGCCCGCCTCTTGCTTTGGGGCTGTTAATCACTGTGTTTCTTTTCTTAAATATTCTTTTTTTAAAGATTTTTTTTTATTTATACAAGAGCTGGGGTACAGGCCAGAGGCGCGGGAGGGTGAGAGGATTCCCCAGAGACAGAGTGGGGAGCAGAACAGGCAGAAGGACCGAAGAGGGGAGCAGCAGCGGGCGAGACAGGAGAGTCTGCTGCGCCATGTGGGAATCTCCCCGGCCGGCTGGGAATCGAACCCGCGCTGCAGAGGCTGCGGACAGCTCCACAGCCCTGCGCTGCGCCACCAGCGAGGTCCCAATCATTGTGGTTTTCAAAAAAAATTTCCACCTTTACCTGAACTGTATGTTTCTCCTAAATTCCTCTGTTTCGGTACGTTTCTCTAAGAGTTTCTTCAAAGGTCGGTCATCCTTGCTGGTGTTCATGTCGAACACGCAGCCTGTTGGGGCCCCAGATAACAGGGGCGGTGGGTCCCCAGACCTTCCTAGACGGCCGCCTGCTGGGAGGGCTGTTGTGAAGGCCCGGGCTTCAGGTGCCACCCACCCGCCGGGCCTGGTGTGCCCAACACCACGCCTCCTGCTTAGCCTCTCGGGACAGTGTCTCTGCTGGGCAGAGTGGAGATGGGGGGGGGGGTCTCTCTGCTCCTGGTACATTCTGCCTCCCCCGACCCTTGTCTGCACACCCCGAGTTCTGAGGGCTGGCTTCTTGTGACCTCTCACCTTGCAGGGACTGGAGTCTCTGTTTCCATTATTTCAGAATCTTGCTGCTCTCGCCCATCCTTTGTCTTCATGGATCACTGGCACAAAGGACCCCCGGCCTCTTGTCTTTCCAGAGGTTTGTAGTGAAAAAGGCCAGAAGTGGTGATTTGGGAGCTGCTGGCTTAGAGGGCTTGGGGAGGGGGTATCCGACTTGGGTGTGTTTTAGGTCACCAGCAAGCTGCCAGTAAGGTGGGGGGCGGGGAGTGGCGTCTGGAGGGCGGGGGTCGGCAAGCAGCCAGAGCAGCAGGAGAACAGGCCACAACTGCGGGAGGAGGAAAGCCTAGGGCTGTGCACCGAAGGGCCTTGTGCTGAGGGGGTTCCCAAGGGATGTGGCCTCCACCCTCCGTGCCGCCAGGGAGACAGCCCTGGGAGGAGCAGGTTGAGGGGCGGCGTGCAAGGGGTGCGGGCCAGTCTGTCCTCACACAGGGCGGTGCCGCCAGGGCTTCTGGGAAGAGCCCAGAGCAGGTTCCAGCAAAATGGATTCATTGTTTTCATTACTCAAGGGATTCAGCTGCCAAGGGAGAAAGGAAATGGCTCAGGGGAGGGCGAGGAGCGGGCGGTGGTGGGCACGCTAGGGCCCTCACAGAGACCACGCTCCCGTGGGGGAGCCTTGCCTGACTGTCCCAGCGGAGGTCGGGGACCCTCGGGGAGAGGGAAGACGCCGCGCCCTTGTCCGGTCCTGCTCTCAGAGGAGCAGCTTCCATCTGTGCTGTGTCTTCATCGTGTTGACTCAAGTGTTTTTACCATGAAATGGTGTCGGCTCTTGTCAGATGTCTTTTTCTGTACCAAGTGAGAAGATCCTGTGGATTTTTCCCTCCAGCATTAATGGCATATTATGGCTTGAGGTCGCGTCCCCTTTGCGGTCGATCCCCCGGATCTGGTTCTATGACCCTTTATACGTGCTGAATCTTGCCTGCCGGTGTTTTGATTGGAATTCCTGCTTCACTCTCCCCCAGGGGTTGTCATCTGTGTGCTTTTTCTTTGTTTAAAGATTTTATTTATGCACACAAGAACCGGGGTGCAGGCCAGACAGAGTGGGGAGCAGAACAGGCAGATCTGCTGAAACCCACTGCTGAGGGGAGCAGCGGGTGAGCCAGGAGAGGTCTGCTGCGCCACGTGGGTCAGCTCCCTGGCCGCCCGGGGATTGAACTCGTGCAGCAGTCGCCAGCGATAGCTTCATGGAGCTGAGACTTAACCCCTGAGCCACCAGGGAGGCCCTTCTTAGGGTGTTTTTTGTCTGACTTTGTATCAGCGCGTGCTGGTGTTACTGAATGAGCTCGGAAGTGTGCTCCCTTCTCTTTGTTTTTTGGGAAGAATCTGAGAGGACTGGTGGTGATTCTCTGTACCTGTTGGGGAGAGTTCCCCAGGGGAGCCCTCTGCTTCTGGGCTTTTCTCCATTGGAAGATGTTTAATGACCGAGTCAATTGCCTCACTAGAAACCTATCCACTTCACGTGGGTGAGCCCATTTGCGGGCACACAGCTGTTCCTAGTATTCTGTCCTGATCCGTTCTGTTTCTGTAACATGAGTTGTAAATTACCCACTTTCATTTTTGATTATTTGTAGCTTCTCTTTGTTCTTACGCATTTGAACTCTGAGCTAAACATTTGTCAATTTTCTTGATCTTTTCAAAGAGTCAACTTTTGGTTTCATTGATTTTCTCTATTGTTCATCTCTGCTCTAATCTTTATTATTTCCTTCCTCTGCTAGCTTTGGGTTTGGTTTGTTTTTCTTTTCTGAGTTCCTTATCTTCCTACAGCTCCTTGCCAGCCATGTTCCGCCCAACTCCTGGGGTTGCCATGAGGGTCACAGACAAGAGGACACACGAGCCGTGTCCACTGCACCCCGGCCGGGCGGTCCTTTCACAACGCTGGGTTGGGGCTGTGTCCTAGATAAAATGCAGCCCTTGGCTTTGCAGACAAATAGCTGCAGGTGGGCCTTTCGGGCTTTTCCCTCTGCTGTAAAGTCAAGCAGTGGCCCGAGAGGCCTGTTTAAGGACA